AAATCGAATGCAGATGTGCCTTGTCTGTGGAAGGCTCGGGTGAATAAGTCCAGACGGTGTGATGATTTGTGGGAAGTAACTGAATGGACTGACCAACACACTTGCATGCAACAGGTCGACAGAAATGACTACATAAACGTGACCGCCCATATGATTGCGAATCTTATAATTAATAAGATTTAGAAGAAAGTGGAGTACAACATTAACATGGTCCAGGCTGATGTGAAGCAGTGTTGGAAATTCGACATCAGTTACAAGAAGGCATGGCACGGCAGAAAAAAAAAGCAATCGGGTGTGTGTACGGCAGTTGGGAGTCAAACTTCGCAGAACTCCCTCAGTAAGCAAAAATTAATTACAAATATACGTGTTTTTTGTCTGTCAGTATGTTTATTTATTTATGAAATTGTTTTGTATTGTACAGATATTTTGCCGCGCTTCAAAGAGCGAATCCTAACACAGCTGTAGATTGGGAATTTCAGGGTGGTGATGTGGCGCGACACGTTCCAGACAGAGAATTCAAATTTGTGTTCTGGGCGTTTGGTCCCGCGATTCGAACCTTCGAAATGTTCCCGCCGGTTATTAGTGTTGATGACACACATTTACGTGGACATTACAAAGGGAAATTGCTCGTGGCCGTAGCACAGACTGCGAATAAGCGGCTATTGCCAATCGCGTATGCGCTTGTCGACGAAGAAAGCACGGACAGTTGGTCATTTTTCCTTAGGAATCTGCGGCGATATGTTGTATTCGACAAACAGATAAGCGTTCTTTCTGACAGGGATGTGGGTCTACGCAGTGCGATTGAATCATTACCAGATTGGCAAGAACCCGCTGCGTATCACCGGATTTGCCTTCGACACCTTCGAAGCAACATGGTGACTCGGTTCAGGAGTATGAAAATCCGGGATTGGTGTTGGGAGTTGGGTTCGCAGTTGTCGAAGCAAAAGTTTCGACAGACAAAACAACAGCTTCAAGAATTTAATCCCGACGCATACAATTATCTCTTCAAAATTCCTTTGAACCAGTGGACCCTGTATCGAGATGAAAAACGTAGATGGGGCACCTTGACAACGAATATGTCGGAGAGTTACAACAATGTCCTTAAAGGGATTAGGTTCCTGCCGTGCAGAGCTTTGGTAGAGGCCACATTTCAAAAAACTCTGAATTTGTTTCGACAAGAACAAAACAAGTCCAGCAGATGCAGGAGCCCCATTGCCAGGGAGCACTATATCGCATTTTTGCAGTTGGAGCAAACAGCCGCAACTCACGAGGTGGAATGTACGGACTACGACAGATCCATGTACGCGGTGACAACCGGTTTACGTGCTAGTGGAAGAGGGCAAAACAAGTAAGTATATGTTTTTTTTTTTGTTGTTCATTCATTTTATTTTATTTTTTTTATTTTGTATATATATATAAATAAGTGTGGAAATACAGGTATATGGTTGATTACCCCGCAAAACATTGTACTTGTCGGAAGTGACAGACACATAGAAAACCGTGTTCTCACGCGATAGCCGTCTGTCGTAGAATTGCGGGTGACCCAAAGCTGTTGTACGATGATCACTTCTGGATGTCGACCTGGGTAGCTCAATTTACTAATTGGAGTTTTACTCCGATTGGTAATCCAGATACATGGCCGCCGGTGGGATGGAATTTGATTCCACACTGGGAGAGGATCATCTTGAAGCCTGGACCCGGTCGCAAGCAAACGAGACGCTACCGCATGCAAATGGATCGTCGGGCACGACGCAGAAATGAGAGGGGGCATTGTACTAGATGCGGTGATCCAGAGCATGTTGTGGATGAGTGTCCATCCTCACATCCTCGCAGCGATAGGTCTAGACTTCGTGATGTGTGGGGAGATTAGATTTTTTATTGTTTATTTGGATTTGTTTGGATTATTTATTTGGATTTGGTTGGATTATTTATTTTGTTTTGTTTGTATGATTTATTTGGACTTGGTTTGATGATATTTAAGGTAGATTGGTTGATTTGTTCGTGTAATTTTGGTTTAGTTGGTTGTTTTGAATATTTAAAACAGGTGCGTTCGAGTCGTGTGATCATCATCAAGTTTTTTTATTTTTTTTTTTCCAGTTTAAAACGTATTTGTAGAATACGTTTTATAAATAAATCAGCTGAAAACGTATTCTCAGAATACATTTTACATAAAACGTATTCTGAGAATACGTTTTACAAATAAGTCATTATAAAACGGATTCTGAGAATCCGTTTTATATAAAAAAAAATGGTTGAGGCTCCCAGATTGGGGACTCGAACCCGGGTCAATGGGTGAGTCCGATTTCTCTGGGCGCACCTCGAACCATTGTGCCGACAGACACTTTCCGATTGTTTTTAAACAAATTATATACATATACATAAAATTATAGAACAGATTAAAATAAATTGTAATTTATACTATATGTTATATTATATTACCTACTATATGTTATATCGTATATTATAATTTATTATATTATGTAGTATATAACATATATTATAACATATGTAGTATACAATTGAAGTCAACTCAGTACAATTGAAGTCAAATTAGTACAATTGAAGTCGAATTAGTACAATTGAAGTCAACTCAGTACAATTGAAGTCGAATTAGTACAATTTAAGTCGAATTAGTACAATTGAAGTCGAATTAGTCCAATTGAAGTCAACTCAGTACAATTGAAGTCAAATTAGTACAATTGAAGTCGAATTAGTACAATTGAAGTCAACTCAGTACAATTGAAGTCAACTCAGTACAATTGAAGTCGAATTAGTACAACTGAAGTCGAATTAGTCCAATTGAAGTCAACTCAGTACAATTGAAGTCGAATTAGTACAGTTGAAGTCGAATTAGTCCAATTGAAGACAACTCAGTACAATTGAAGTCAAATTAGTACAATTGAAGTCGAATTAGTACAATTGAAGTCAACTCAATACAATTGAAGTCAACTCAGTACAATTGAACTCGAATTAGTACAATTGAAGTCGAATTAGTACAATTGAAGTTGAATTAGTACAATTGAAGTCGAATTAGTACAATTGAAGTCAACTGTTTGTACCGTTTTTGTCGTGATTTTTCTTATTGTT